AAGCCCCAACTAAAGACTAAAAAGTATCATGTCAAGTCCCAAGGTCTAACTGGAGGGCAAAAGAGATTTGTTTTATAGAGAGTATCTTAGTGACTCATTTTGATAAGGGGCAGCTCTTATTAAGCCTTCTGACTGTGGCCTCAGACATCCAGGTCACAACCTTTGCTAATACTGTTCTCATGGAGGATTACAGTTTCATTTAGTGGTCACGAGTGTCTCCTCTCACCCTGGATCAGACCTGCAGCTGTCTGCCACAGATTGCACATCGCAGTGCAACCTCTATTTTGATTTGTTCCGATGACAGGATAGGCATCATGTGATCGTGTTGTAAAGCTGTCCGATGCCTTAAGCTCTGCTCAGATTGATGAGGAGGGGTCAAAGCTGAGTAGGAGACCATGAGGTTCAAGAAGGCAATGGATGAAAGAGGCACCATTTTCTGCATTTCCCCTACCTTTCTCAAACCTCTGCCTCCTGGATGTGGATATCGTGAACACCACTGCACTTTGTATGCTGCTGCTAATCGGCCGTCTTTGTCTGCACACAGACTTTCCCATTGGTTGGGTTTTATATATAAATCTCTCCTTGGGCTGGTTACCTCTTATATTTGCACTTATATGTGTAAACAAACAAAGTCTACATGGCCTGCAAGATATCCTTCAGAGGCTGGTTCCTAAAGTGAAAACAGAACTAGGTAAAAAAAGCTTTTAAATATGCTGCAAGTCCATCTTAAAGGACAGAGAACAAGAATCCATTGGTCGATGTGATTGCTCGTATATCCCCTAATTTAAGTCGTTTTAAAATTGCGCCAGTTTTTTATGTTTTATAACAGTTTCTTGTATTTGCATATTGACTGGTTAATGTGCCGCTTCAGTTTGACAGCTGTCTTTTTCGTCTGCCTGTATTGTTTGTGTTCATTTGTTGTAACTGTGTTCATGCTGCTCTCTTGGCCAGGTTGCTCTTGAAAAAGAGATTTTAATCTCAATTAGACTTTTACCTGGTTAAATAAAGGATACATTCATTTGCAATACACCCATTGTCTTCAGAGCATCCTGCATTTCTTTACAGGTGCCTTGGGATTCAGGAGGGCACATTTTGACCGTACATGGTCCAACCAAATACTATGTTTCAATCAAGTCTTATTACTCCTGGAAAAAACGTTGCACAAATCCTAATTTCTGGTCCTACTGTAGATAAACCTCAATGCAACACTTTGTTAGTCGGTCCTCCTGCAGGGTTTCAGACTCGTTACTCAGTAGTGGTTTTCTCTCTCAGCTTATATGTGGTTTTGTGCCTTTTCTGACATAATGGCAATCTGAAATGGGAGACACCTGCTCCACAGTCCGGCTAAATCAATGACATGAGGAGTAAATCAATGGAGACAGGATGACATATGGCTTGCAGAGCACACACACACTTCCACCAAGACGTCAACTCTCCTAATGGACTCGCACACACCCCCATTCCCAATAATCAGTGGTCATGGCTGGCCCACTGGATTGTGATGATACCCAGTGCTGGAACATAATAACATAGTATATAAGATTGTAAGGTCATTCGCAGCATTTAAGTACAACTTTCAGGTTATTTTTCCACATCTCACCTTCACCAAGCCTCCTTTCCCAAGCCTCCTTTCCCAAGCCTCCTTCACCAAGCCTCCTTTCCCAAGCCTGAAACTAATGGAAAAAACCCTGAACAAATGTAAGGATTTCTGACATTTTATCCGGTTGCTCTACAACAACCCTGGTATTTCTTTGTTTTGTTATTTTAAAGTTTTACATTTTGATCACAAACATTCTACCTTTACTATTTATTTGAAACTAATACATTACAATATATTGTTGCTGCAGAACAGGCAGTATTAGAAAAATAAAGAGCTTTTTCTAACATTCAAAGCATGGAAACATGTCAGGAGAGACACTGAACACTAATATGAACCTGAACATGAGCAGAATAGGGCCCCTTTAAACAATATTTGCAGCCTCAAAATTGTTTTTACTCCAATCTGATGGATGCCTTTGCTTGCAAAAAATGTTTTGCTTCAAGACCGAAGGGTGTGTCGGGGCTGAAGTTTGTTAGAAATAGACAATAACCTCCAGCATCAGACCGATTGGATCAGAAATAGTGTTGTTGTTTTTCTAAAAGCCAAACAGAACTGGTGCTCATGTTCAGATATATCTGCATGATTCTATAATTGTTTCATATTGTATTTGGCCAGAAACATGTTCTAACTGTGCCGATAAGTCACATCAAACAACAACAACACTTCAGTATCATCCATGCCCGGTTTCTTGGTTTCTTGGGAGCTTGTTAGTGAAACTTGGCTCTCGGTGAACGCGCGCTGCTGTCGGCTGGTTTGACCCTCAGTAACGAGGTTTCACTGCGTCCCCATGCCAAGGAATAAAATGACTCAAGCGGATATCAAACGATACGTCCCACCTATAAGATGATTAAATAGTTACCACGAATCTGTGCCAACATTTTTTTTTTTTTTTAGATCTGTGCCAAACCGACTCTTAACTACACTACATGTTGTATATTTCAAAAACAGCAGGGTGCCTCGATGCTCTCCGTTGTTGTAAATGTCGCCTTATTAGTTGAAGCCAAACTTCTTGAATTAACTTTCTGTTGTTTGCAATGGTGCCAACTAACTGAAAATTAAATTAGAAAAAGGTGCTTGTGAGACTGTGATTATTTATGGTAAAGAAATAACTCTTGTATTTATTTATACCACGTTTTGACTTGATCATTTTTAGTTTTTGAAACATGCTTTAAGGTTGAACAATTATTCAGATCCCTAACATTACCAATACATAAATATTAAATACTCCAACACAAGTAAAGTCCCACATTTAAAATCCCGCTTAAAGGTAGGGTAGGTAATTTGAGAATCCGGCTCGAGATACACTTTTTGTTATATTCCATGGAATGCTCTTAACATCCTGATAGCAATGAATATCTGAAGTGCTTTGACAAAAAATCCATAAATAAATGTCATCTGTGGAAGCCATAGTACTGTAAAAAGCACGACCAATCATCTGAGCCGGCCCGGCTAAAATAACTGGATGGCCTACCTGCCTGTCAGCCTTCCATCTGTGCACAAACTTATCTCGTGCCCTCATTGGTCATGTGCGCGTTCGTGTGTGTTGGAGGAGGGGCTCTGTAAGGAAGTGGCAGATTTTTTCCGGCTGTGTATTTTCAAATTCTAGCGATCTCGAGCCGGTTTCTCAAACTTACCTACCCCACCTTTAAGTAAAATTATAAATATTATCAATAAATTGTACTTTAAGTATCAAAAGTAAAAGTACCTATTCTGCTCAAAATGTACCTCCATATGTGCTATATTGTTTTATGATATTATCATATTGTCAAGTACCATGTTACTGTTGTAGACAAACATTTATGTTACTAAAGTTATAAATGTTTAGGACTACGTTTGTAATACGTTGGATAATTTTACCTGAAAAAAGTTACTCAAATCGTTAAATCTGTTAAAAGTGTATCTTGCTTGTTAATGCAAAAATGTTAATCTAATAAATACCCTAAAACCTTTTTATTGTGAGTAAACATGTATTATTTTCCTGTAAATCTAGTGGAGTAGAAGTACAAAGTAGCATTGAGTGAAAATACTGAGTTAAAATACAATAATTTCTTAACAGTTCTTGAGTAAATGCATTTAGGTATAATCCACAGTTCTGTTTGTTCAGAGAATAGGAGCGATGCCAGGCAGCTGCCGTGATGCCATTCCTGCCGTTTCCTTCCTCTCTGAAGCCTCATATGGGCAGCGAGGAGGCCATCATTGTTAGGCAAACTGACTAATGAAGGACAAGGGGGGAGGGGGGGGAGAGGAGCTGAGGTCACACATTGTTCCCTCTTTCGGACGCTTTCCTTGGCCGACTCATCGGAAGGCTGTTTGCTTTTTGAGTGCCTCGCAACGCTTTGTTAGCGCTTGTTTTTGAGGTCAGTGAAGCTGGGATGTTGCCCAGTTCTTACACACACACACACACACACACACACACACACACACACACACACACACACACACACACACACACACACACACACACCACACACACACACACACACACACACACACACACACACACACACACACACACACACACACACACACACACACACACACACACACACACACACACACACACACACACACACACACACACACACACACACACACACACACACACACACACACACGTTGCTGGAAGGCAGCAGAAGTACTTGACATTGTGTTAAACAGGTAACTATTCTTAGAGTTTAACATGTTTTTATGTTGGAATTAATATAATATTTTCTCTACACCATAGTGACTGAAAAAGGCTTCCTCCTTGTATCAGTATTAAAGGTATTGCATGTTTTATTGTATGTACTGGTGGCGCATAATTTATGGATCTAAATTAACACATTTTCAAGGACGTGTCATTGAAATAATAATGACATTTGACGCCTAATACGAAGAAAATTACTTATTTTTTCTTGAAAGCATGGCCATTTTACACCCAGTTAATATTCATTTGTTATTCATTTACCACAATTAACTTCATTCTCTATATATGTCCTTTGCATTTGTTTATATCCAGAAACTTGTGGTGATGCTACTGTAGCATCCATTGATGTGTATGAATCGTCTCTATTTTCTATAAATCAGTTTGACATATAAATTGGACACAAATCAGACATAATTAAGAAATGACGGCCCAGTAAAAATAAAGTATTACCTTTGTCCGTATGCAATACATCTATATCAAAAGTATTGATCTTACTGAGTTGCCAACATTTCTATTTGTTTAAGAAAAGCTAATCGATTGCAATAGCAGTTCATAAGAAATAAAAACATGGCAATAAATATATCATATCAGTTTAGCTGTTAACGATTAAAACTCAGCTTTCCAGAAGACACATGTTCAATAGTCAACAAATAAACACATGTATATTTGTGTACACAAGATGTGAAGCGTTCAAACAAAGAGACTCAGATCCTGTCATCATCAATCTACTGTTTATTTTGGACTATAAATGTACCGCAATAATAACTTTATAGATGGAAATAAAAAGTCTAACAGTCAAATAAAAACATTTTGCTTATCCAAGCCAATGTGTGTTACTATAACCTTTTACAACAAGTTATTCGTGATGTTAAACACACAACGACGAGTCAGTTGTTGTCCAGTTCAATGAGATAACTGTTGGTTTGATTCACCGTGAAATAGCAGCTCCACCAGAAAACCTCCCCTTCTGGTCTCATTGATTCCCATCAGTCCGTACAATCAGATTAAGCAGCAATCAATAGATCCATCGACTTTCAAATGACATTCTTTGTTCGTTCCTTCATGCAAAAACCTTCCTCCATAACATGCACACTGAGAGACTAAACACGTTTTAATGATAATGCTAAAAGAAAACACGGTTAGTCGAATATGTCAGTAAGAAAAGGTGGCAAGTATCTTTAGAGACAGAATTGGCACATAAGCGCCGCTGATGTGCGCACCAAGGCACAACTTTGGTTTTCAAACTAAAGGCAGGATACAGACTCAACACGGAAGAGGTCTAGAATTGGTTTAGCTCAACACTTTGACTACTTTCTAAACCGGTTCCCCCTCGGAGGACCAGGATTCCTCCTCTGCGTCAGACTCGTCAGAATGGACCCCCTCCCCCTCAACGACATTTCTACCCAACACCTGCTTCCCCTCCGAATGCATCTGCTCATGCTCTTTCTTCGCGGACAGGGTTTTAGACGAGTCAACATCCACCCTGGAGATCCAGTTATCCACATTTTCCGAACTCCCCCAAACCATATTGTCAGCAAACCCTAGATTCTGATTGGTTTGCTCCGCTGCTTCGTTACGGGCATCATCTGGTTGATAGGTGGCACCGGTCTCCAAGGAGGACGACCAGAAGTCATTCTTTAAGCCGGAGCTAAATAAATCCGATGAGTCCTTCATTACAAAGATTTCTTTTTCATCAGGAACACTGTCGGGGGACATCTCTAAAGGCTTCTCTTGATGTGTCCTAACTCCGTCATCGAGCAGACAACCTTCAGCTTGTTCAGTCACATTCTCACATTTTGCATTTTGATCTCTTGAATCCTCACTTGGGTTCTCAAGGACTTCCCATTCAGCTGTTTCTGGAACTTGCGGGAATTCCTGAGATTCTGCCGCATCCACAGTTAGATTTTCTTGGGATTCATTGGATGATTTCACCGGAGCAACCTCTTTCACATCCTGCAGGACTTCCTGATCTGATATTACCTCTAGTACAGACTTTGGATCGTCTGAGTTTTTTACTTCTTCCATGTCTGGCCTTCTGATATAGTCAGTAAACTCAGGATAGTCTTCTGTACCATCAGCATGTGTCACCATGGATGCATCCTCTTGCTCTCTTTTCCCTGGAGCCTCATGATCTTTATTCTGAACCTCCTCATCATCCAAAGCTTGAGGCATTACCGGCCAATCACTGAAATTCTCGTAGGCTTGATCTATAATGGTAGTGGAAGATGCAAGTTGGTGGTTTACTCTCACTTCAGTCTCTGCACGAAAAGACTTTCCAGCATCTTCTTTTTCGGGCATTTCCAGATGGTGCATCTCCTCATTCTCACTGACCTGCTGCTGAGCAAAGTGAGCGCTGTAGCTGTCTGTCGCCAGGTTTTCCAATTCCTGTTCCACAAGTCTGTCTGTCTCCAACTCCTCGTCGTAGTCCACATATGTTGGTGCCGTTGGTTTGGTCAGTTCTTCAGGTTCTTCCTCCGAATGTCCCTCACTGACTTTCCCGATCATTTCTTCTTCATTCACCAGTGAAGCCTGCTCAACATCCCGGTCTCCAATGTGAGAATATCCCATATTATAGTCCTCGTCCAATGCTTCTCCTTCCACTTCTTCACACAGATCTTCCATGGTTCCAAATCTCTTGGACTTGCCTTCGCTCCACGATCCCAACTCTCCGATCTTCTTTTCCTGCTCACTTTCACTGGACTCGCTCTCCTCCAGGTGTGAGGCGTGAGTGTTGGCGTCACACTCATCGCTCTTGTATCGAATCAGAGGACGAGTGTCGGCAAGAGTGTTTTCTTGAGCGTAGCTGTCACTCTCCACCTCAGTCCGCCATGACACGGAGACGTTTTGAGAATCCTCCTCTTCGTCCTCTTCTTCGTTGTCTTGGTCTAACACATCATGCTTTCCTTCATCATCCACTTGTGTGTCCATCATTGCAGAGGACACATTGTTGTCCTGCTGCACATCTGGGGCAAAACCCTGCCTCATTTCTCTCTTCTCATGATCTCTTGCTGATATATCTTCCTCTGGTTCGGCGTGCTTTTGCTTCTCTTCATCCTTTCTTACGCCATTCTCTGTCTTCACATCAACCTTCCTTTCTATAACACTGTCCCATGTGTCCATCTCTTCTCCGTCAGGGTACAACCTATCCTCCTTCTCATTTGTTCTTTCGAAAGAACCGCCGATTTCTTGCCTCATCTCGACTGCATCCTCCTTACGGATGATTTCCTCTCTGCTGTTGAACAAGTTTTCTTCAGGCTCACATTCAGACCTTGGACTGCCGGTCCTTGAATCATAGTTTGGTTCAATTACCGCCTCTGTTTCAGAATCTGACCTTTCCTCCCGCACATGCTCTTCTTCCTTGCCTTTCCACTCTTTCTCAACCCATGCTTCAATTGGAGCATGCTGGTTTTGTGATATTCCAAAAGGCACATCCCTTTCCGAGTCATCTGAGAAACCACTGTGCTCTTCGGACATTTTGACATGGTATGGTGTAAGACTAGGAGTGGTGAACTGATGCTGACTAACCTCCTCATTAAAGGCTGGCTCTTTGCTGAGGACGGACTCAACCTGATAACTCACAACTGGCTCGATAACAGATCTTTCCTCAGGAGGCTTTACACCAACATTGTTCCAGTCCTCTTCACCTTCCTTGTCCACTGGTGTTGTTTCAGCCTCCTGCTCATTGGGAGGTGATAGAGGCTCAGCGTAGGTGACTTTCTCTTGAACCTCTTGTGGTCTGAAATTCTCAATGGCTCCATCATGCAGTATTTTGGGATAAGGGGTGACCCATGTTGACTTTGTTGTGTCTTCATACGTAGATTTTGTAGACGTCTTTGGAGTTTCAGTGATGGTAACATGTTTTTTACTCCATGTTGGTGTTGAATTGATCGCTGTTGGTCTTCTTCCTGTTATACCACGGACAGATGAAAGGGAAGTGGTTTTGTGGCGAGTGGACATCTGGCTCTGGTAATTCTTTGTAACCCCCCGAGGACTGAAACCTGCATCTGTGGAGGACAAGAGCTCATGAATACACAATGAACTGAGCTACTGTAGTAATAATAATGACTTGCATTGACGTCTCTTTAGTTCAAACCAATTTCTATACAACATTTCTGCTAAATCTACCTTATCATAGATATTTGATTCCTCCACACAGCTTTCACTTGTATTTGAAACCATCCCAAGTACTACTCTTAACATGACATAGATACTGTGGAGAACCCTCCATCCTTCCACATTATTAAAACATATGAAGGGTGGACACTAATGGGGAGATATTGATCGTCCTTTCCTTTCCCCGATGTCTGAGATGCCGGAAAGCAAAGCCATTTGGCTCAATAACCTTCGGGGACTGTCTTGCATTACAGGACCCAAAGTGCCTACCTCAGCTCGCACCTAACTAATGAGATTACCAACTGTATCAAACATGTCTCCTGCTCTGAGAGCTTTTAGTTATACCCTTACATATGAGAGTGCAGATAAAGAAGACGTTTTTATGCAGTGATGTATTAATGCTGTTTACTTTAATTACCTGAGATGTTTCTCGGATGATTTGACAAAGAGATGTCTCCCCTGAGGCTTTCAGCGTCCAGCAAAGCTCTGTAGAGACAAACAACAAGAACATCAATAATTATTTTTTAACATTTGCATCTTTTACACACACCATGTGATAAATATAGGGTTTGTAAATTGGAGTTGATGCTGCACACGGAGCGATTTGTGGGCAGGGTGACTTGTGTTGCTCTTGAGCAGCAGGAACGGACTGTTGTTATGGTAATGAAGGAAAGGGCCATTGAGGAGCCATCTGCAGCACACACACCTCTACCATTAATCTCACACACACACACACACACACACACACACACACACACACACACACACACACACACACACACACACACACACACACACACACACACACACACACACACACACACACACACACACACACACACACACACACACACACACACACACACACACACACACACACACACACACACACACACACACACACACACACACACACACACACACACACACACACACACACACACACACACACACAATGACAGAAAGATATTATGATTAGCCCATGCAGCACTAATATCTCCGTCTCCATTCAACCATGTGGACCACACCACCCTCCATTCCAACACATAACAAACAATTAGCTGCATGTTTGGCCTTTTTTTGACTTTTTAAATACAAGTACATGATAAATCTCGGCACGGCAACATTTCCATGTGCCGTGAATCACATTGAAATGTATCCTCTAGTTTGTCCTCCCCCCTCAGGCTCTCATCTGCTGTTATCCTAGACTCCCATCGCTCATAAATCGGTAGCTTCTCACTGAGGAGCGAGGGGTCAATATTTAGAGAATGAGCGGGGGAACAGGAGAAAGGAGACACCACTATAGAGCTACATAATGTATAAGATACTCCGTCCCAAGACATCAGAGGCTGCTGTTTCAATGAGTGACCTTTGGCTCAGACGGCTGCACCCGCTGTGGACGGATCTTTATTGGACAAAGTCTCCCATCGATGTTTGTCTACCCTGTTACTGAGCAGCAGCGTTACAATGGGTCAAGCTAATCCTCTAAATCACAGCTGACATAGTTGCAATGATACTCAGATGCTGATGTCAGGGGTTGCACTTGCAAATCTAATTGTCTTGTTTACATGTTTGTATCCTGATACCTTGGAGACAATTTTCCAATAGGGCTGCAGTTAAAGATATTTATCATTAAGTATCAGTCTGCTTATTCGATTTTCTTAATTGCTTCATCTACAACATGTCAGATAATGGTCAAAAAATGACATGCCGATTTTCTAAAGCCCAATGGATGTCTTCAAAATGCTTGTTTTTATTCAACAAAAGTGTCCGAAAACGTATAAGTGTTCAGTTTACTTTGATATCCTCCCATTTGAAAAGCTAGAAACAGCATTTTTGCATTAAAACGGACTAATGGAGATGTTGACTTTAGTGTTACAATGGGTCAAACTAATCCTCTAAATCACAGCTGACATAGTTGCAATGATACTCAGATGCTGACGACAGGGGTTGCAACTCCCATTGTCTTGTTTACATGTTTGTATCCTGATACCTTGGAGACAATTTTCCAATAGGGCTGCAGTTAAAGATATTTATCATTAAGTATCAGTCTGCTTATTAGATTTTGTAATTGTTTAATAAGGTCAGATAATGGTCAAAAAAGTACATCCCGACTCTCTAAAGCCCAATGCATGTCTTCAAAGTGCTTAGTTAACTTTGATATAAGACCAAAATAAGCTGCAGATCCTCCCATTTTCAAAGCTAGAAACAGCATTTTTGCATTGAAACTGACTAATGGAGATGGTGACTATCTTGGAAAAACAAGTATGTCCTGTGTTCCTCTTCCGAACTACAAATTGGAGAATCAAATTGCAGCTGGGTGTTTCCATGTGAGCGTGATATAATTTGAGCAAGTCATTGTGTTCATTATGAAGATAAACAATGTAGGAAGACTCAGGACTGAGTCAGCTCCCATGACATGAGTGAGGCGGCTTTTACCAAACATCTCAAATACGTTGGTAGAAGAGATGCATCCTTCATCCCACACACGTCTGACATCAATCATGTGATATCTTTAGACCATCCACCTGAGTGAAGCTTTAATGCTTTAAATCACAGCGCGCCGCCAACAGTTTCTCCTTTTCACAGCGATGTGACTGACACTACAGAAAGACACCTTTATCATGAAAGCTGCACAAAGGCTGAAAACATATCTCCGTCAATTCTCCATCTACGGTTTCATTTTGTTTGTTTTTTTAAACCTATGATCACAACGACAGTCTTATCATAATAGCTAGTTTTCACCCATTGATCACAATGTCTTTGATGGGAAAGAAAACAGAGCACAAAGCTGAGAGTTGTGTACAGTTAATATCTGAATAATTAGAAACAGTAAACCTTTAACATATGTTTTCCTTGGGTTGAAGATAAACCATAAAAATAAAAATGCTTTTAACTTTTCGCTCATTGTAAAACTATCAACGATAGAGTTCTGCAATACAGTGAAGTTAGCAACAACTTGTAATTTAAGGAAAACACGTTCCAAGCATGTTTGAAAAATGTCCATTTATTTAGTTGAAACAGAAAAGAAGACACTTGCAGAAATCCTAACCCTATAATTGATCAATATTATGTCTGTTGCCTAAGCTAAACCAAATAGGTCCCATCTTTGCACATTCTACTGCGTACCTTTTCTATAGGAGTAATGCCTTTTTTCTCTGTATCGATAATCAGGTATTGATCAGCTGTGATTATACATGTACAAGAGGGAAGACGTGGTGACGGCTTTCCTCAGGGAATTAGCTTTTGTCTTGGAAAATTCAGAGCATGTAATTAACCCTCCTCTCATTCTCTCAGCCAATAAATGCTGGAAGGGCCCAGTTTGTTCCTAGGACGTTTTGCTCAATTGCACATGAAGCACAAAAAGTTTGGCCTCCGGGTTTAACATTTACCAGATCTCCTGCATCCGTGCAGCAAACGGCAAGAACACTATAGTGATTCCTTTAACCCCCCTTACAGCCGCTTGGTCTCAGCTCTTGGATAAGTCTGGATTTGGGAAGTTACTTAAATTAAAGTAAAAGGGAATCTATTTGATGTTGGTCATTTGGGAAGAGTTTTTTTTGGACCAAGGCAATCACCTGACAAACCCTTAAAGATGTAGTACCACAGTTTGGCCACTACTCTAAAGCCCTGCACTGTTTCTTGTTTAACCCTGCAGCTGAAACTCAGGAATGTTTGGTTGGTCTTGGTCTCTATTCTTGATATTTGACCGCTCATATCTTGACAATTCTATATAATGTATGTGTAACATTTCCTTGGTGTTTGAAGCAGTGTTGTGTACCTGTACGTTGCCACCTCGAGGCCAAGAGCCACTTTCTGCTGCTGCAGGCCTCGGTTCTCCAGGAGAAGATGATCGATGTGATCGCTCAGCTCCTCTTTCTCCGCCTCCAGGCTCTCCCAATGCTCCTGCCAAAACAGGAAGAGAAGCAGGAAGAGGAAGCGGGTTAAAAAAAGGTATGAATGCATTCTCACAATGAAGTGGTAAACAAACAGTTTTTGTGTTGGGTTGTGTTTGCTGAAAGCGACCGTAAATCTGTTGTTTTATGGATTGTTTTCATCACAGTAAATGCAACTGTGCTGGTATTAGCACGACCTCTCTGAGGAGGAGGCAGCATTGTATTCAAACGTTCTTTATTTGGGTACTTCACTCCTCAGACCTCACTGTGACCCAGAACTAATCCTTAAAAAACCCAGCCTATAAATATGTAGCCCCGCCCCCTGCCCCTTGCATACCAATGTTTTCATTCAATCAGAATTTAAAATTAGCTTACTGAGGGAATAACTCACATTCTCCTTAAACACTTGGTGTCTGGCATCTTTCAAAGGATTTAAAGGGGCCCTTTCAGCCTTTTGGGGTTTCCCATTCCCATTCCCCATTTTCTGGTGTAAATACTTGTCTTCAGCATCCTTTTTTTAATGCTAAATTGTTTATTAAAAATACTTATTTTTTATTATCCTTATATATATACATTTTTGTATTTACTTACTTACTACTAGATTACTATTAGATTGTTTATGTTCGCACGACCAGACACCAAAGCAAATTCCTTGTATGTATAAACGTACCTGGCAATAAACTTGATTCTGATTCTCTACAATCCCTGTGTTTCCTCCAGAGGGAGTTTCTCTCTGCAATTTACTTTGGATATAATTGTAATGGAATATTTCTAGACTGTAACATTTCTACTTTGCTTAAGTAAAGGATGTGAGCATTTACCATGAACACAATACCTTTTTAATGTGAGATATTTTTAAGCCTTGACCAGTCATGTTAACGTTGTGTATCTAAACTTCATTGTTCCTCCCTGACCTCAGTGAGTGTGCAGATTATCAGCTGTTCCCCTGTGGTCTGTCACTTCTTTATTTCAGACTGTGTCTATTTCTGTCATGTAAAACCCTGAGAGAGAGATTGCATCTTAACAAGTAACACTGGATGCCAATGTGAGGATTAATTAACTCAACAAGTTCCTAAATTCTCAGAAGTTATTTATCACCACTTCTCTGAAAGTAAAAAAGAACAAAAGTCAAATTTGAGTTCTTGTGTTGTATCTCTCCATAGTACTATTGACCTAATCTATGATGACACAAGTGTATACATACAACGTCTATCTGAAGCCTGAAACAATTATTTAATAAATGTACAAACAATGCATTAACATTTATCCTTCTTAATGAGTCGTTTCATTCAAGTTGTCTTTAGTGAATTGATCATTTGTTATGCTTTTTTTCATGCTACAGTACAGTATATGCCTTTGTGTACAGCCAAAGACATATTGAGAGTACGTAGCCCACGCTTTATGACAGATGTTTACAGCAGTGGTGGCCGGTGGTCTTTTTTTTTGGTGGGGCTCTTGACGTACCGTAAGTGACCTACCCGGGGGGTCCGGGGGGTTTCCCCCCCGGAATTGTTTTTCGAGAAATGACCCCTTAAATGATGACTTCTGGTGATGTTAGAGGGGGGGGGAAAGGAGAAATCGAGGCTTAAAAATATGAGAAGACTGATCAATACCTCCATAATCTTCAGTGTGGAAAATATTATTTATCAACCTGAACATCTACTACTTTACCAGGAATTTGTGTTCTCAGAACTGGTCTGTTTTTTTCTTTCTTAAAACTGTTCATGTTTTATGAACCAACACCTTCACCAAGTAGCTTTACAGTGAACTGCATGTGAGATATAAAATTAATAGCATCTTTTCAGTAGCATTAATTATAAATATTTAAGTGGTTCAATACAAGTCACTACAGCATTTCAAACTGAACTGTGAATAAATGCAATTTAAAAAAAATAACCACAGCACAAAATGTCATAAATTGTGTTTTTTCTTTGTTTCTCTGAGGATTATTTACAAACAGGCTTATTTACATATAGCAATAACTCAGAAATGAAAAAGCTACATCGTCTAACACGAACAACCAGTTAGCATAATGATAATATATGTGTTATGTACAATGTAACTGGCAAGGCTAGAGCAAGAAAGAACATAAAGTTTGCAAAAGGTTTAAATAACTTCAAGTATCTGTCTTCAGATTACGTGGAGGTTTTAGTCCGATGGGAAGCAGATTTTAAGCGACACCGAAGATAAACCAAAAATGTGGTGGAGCTGCAAACCGTGTAGTGTTGCTGGGACAGAACAGGAGCTATAACCGTTGGAAAATACATCACAGACAATGCAACAAACGTGGAGACAGAACAATCACTTCTGTGATAAATGCCCACTTATTAATAAACTTCTAACAACCATGGGAAACCTCCTCTCTACATATAAAGTGATATCCAAGCATGGGAAACAAAAGACAGCATTTACCTGTTTGCATCCAGCTAGCCAAGCCTTTCTTGTGTACCAGCTACTTGTGAAGCCTCGTGTATAAATTTTGTCTTTTTCACGAGATTGCTGCGATATATTCAAATCGGGTTGGTCCGGTGCAAGGTCTTTAAGCAACAATTTATCTGCCAAACTTCTCCTTTCGAAAGGATTGGAGATTAGCTCTTGAACAGAATTAGGCGGGGACCGAGGTCCGGAGACTCCACCTGCACACGAAGCCATCCTCATCAACTACTGCGTCAACCGGATACGAGTCACTGTCCAAACTACTCACAGACTGCACTGGGCGCTGACATTGGCGCCCGGTGACCGTCATCTTTGACGACGCTGATTGGCTGAAATTATATTTTCGCGGCATAGTTTACACGTTACAGATAGCAACAGTCAGCTGCTGGTGGCTGCTGCTGCACTGGTTGAAGGCTCCTCTCTTAGCGCCCAGACGAGAGAAGGTGCATGGGCAAGGCCAGGCAGGAAACATGTGACTTATCAGTAACTTTAGACATCGTAACACAATTTTAAACGAGATTTTATTGTAGATTATACATTTTACTGATACCAATTATATAATATTTACCTTGTTCATTAAAAATAAAAATAAAAACATATATATTTTTTTAAACATATTTTCTTTTTTTAATTTTAATTTTAATTATTATTATTTTATTTTTTTTTTCAATATGGGAAGAGGTGGGGCGGCGCCCCTAGCACCCCTATGGACCGGCCGCCACTGGTTTACAGGTAGATCAGGATGTTTTCCAGCAGGTTTGGATGTTCTCACCTGTAGTGTCTGGATCTCCTCTCTGTATCCGTCTCCCTGCTGCTGGGCGTTCCTCTCCAGATGCTTCCTGACGTCCCGAGCCGAGTCCATCTCCTTCTCCAGAGCTCTGAGCTTCATCTCGCTCTCCTTCCTCTCCTTGTTCACTTCTGATAGGCGGCTCCTGCTCTGGTTCAGTGTCTCCTCCAGCTGATCTAACTGAGTCTGATGAACCTCCGCCGCCTCCTGCCAGGCTCTGGTTGCCCTCTGCGAGAAATCCTGTCCCACCTACAGATTGAAAAAGTACACACATCCTTTACTCAAGTAGAAGTACAGATACTCGTGTTTAAAAATACTCGTAGAAGCACTGACTAAACTTCTTTACTCAAGGAAAAGTAAAGAAGTATGGGCTTAAGTAAAAAATACCCATAAATTTGTGTCCTTGGGCAAGACACTTCACCCTAATTCGCTGTATTCTTACATGTCTGATATGTGTAATATGGAATGTAAAGCGCTTTGAGCATTCGGAAAAGTGCTCTAATAAATGTAATGACACGAGAAGTAAAAGTAAAAAGTTGTCAGAAACATAAGTAGTGGAGTAAAGTACTGATACCAGAAAAATGTACTTAAGTACAGTAACAAAGTATTTGTACTCCATTCCTTCCCTCCTCTGGTCTCACCTGAAGGAGGTCTAGCGTTTGGTTTCCTCTCTGAGCCAACATGGGGGTCATGTTGGCTCTGGAGCGGCTCATCTCGGCCTCCATGTGGCCCACGTCCTCCTGATGGGTTTGGATGAGGTTCATCATCTCGTGTTCCAGCTGATTCACCTTCTCCCGGAGCCACATCTGAGCCCTCTGCTCCTCCTCCAGCTCCTTCTTGCTCTGCTCCAGCTTCTTCCTGGCCTCCAGCTGGGCCTCAGCCTCCCTCTGCCGCTGAAAATCCAGGTTTTGAAGCTCCTCGGCCACCTTGCAGACCTCCATCTCCGCGAAAACCCTTTCCCTCCAGGCTGAATCCACCTCCAGCCTCACCTTAAGGCAGAGGTGGCAAAAGTAAACACAGCCTTTACTCAAGTAGAAGTACAGATACTCGTGTTTAAAAATACTCTGGTAAAAGTAGAAGTACTGACTAAACTTCTTTACTCAAGTAAAAGTAAAGAGGGCTTTGAAATGTACTTCAGTAAAAAGTACCCATAACTAGCAGCTGTTTTAAAGAGTACCTGACCTCCCTTTATATGAATAGAACAATAATGTCATTGTTAGCTAATGAATGTTTCCATGCTGAACAACGGCAACATGACAACGTTTTCATTGGTCCCTCTTCTTTAGAGAAGACCAGGAAATTATGGATACACGGATCGTGTTCAAATCAATAGGCACGCAATGACTCTAAATAATAATGATCACGCCACCAAACACACATTCAAACTAAAGTAACCAGCCTGTTTGGAAAATGTAAGAAGTAGAAAGTACAGGTATTTGTGTTCAACATGTAAGAAGTAGAAAGTACAGGTATTTGGGTTCAAAATGTAAGAAGTAAAAAGTCGTCAGAAAAATAAGTAGTGGAGTAAAGTACTGATACCAGAAACATGTACTTAAGTACAGTAACAAAGGGAATCACCAGGCTCCCCACGATACGATAGTATTGCGATTCTACGATATGCTAAGTATTGCGAATGCGATACGATAATGCGATATTGCAAATCACATGGCTCATAGCCTATGCATGTCTGTCTTCCCTTCCTGGTTAAAAAATCCAAGATAATTCCACACCTTTGATTTAAACGCGACCGGCGCATTTCTGATTTCTTTCTCCGCTGACTCCATCTTTGTTTTGACTAACTTCCTGCCAATCCCACTGACTTTACCCATGGCCATGACCGCACAAGAAAAAGCTCAGCGCCATGTAGTGGATTGAAAAAGCAATTGTTACCAAAACTTTAATTAGGATTTGCAATATGAATAGTTCATGTAAATAACCTAATTTGTGTTCGTTGAACCTGAAAAGGAGATGGCATTGTTTGTGTTACTTTCATTGCAGTTGTATACATGTCTGAAGTGTAATTTAGCTTAACTTCCTGTTTTACTTAGACATGCTTTTATGTTGAAGGTGACTTTGCGCTATTAACAGGAAGTTACTGTTCCCAAAGCTAAAACTTGACGGATCAAGAACGGAGATAAAGTAAAGATATTAACGGAGATAGCCTATCTACATTTAAATACGGCGATATCAAAACATAAAGTTCACATGTAAGTATTAGCACCCCAAAAAGGCACAAGGTTAGTGTTAATTGTAATATAAAAATGTGGTTTGTGTCTTAAGTCGTTAACTTTGCTAACTATTTGAAGTTCACTCGTTTAATGCTAGGCTATGCTAAAGTAATGCTAATATGGATGTAGCTTAATGCATTAGTTGTTTTTTGTCTTTGTGTATGAAAATCATTAGTCAAGTGTTCGACCATCTTCCGGATGGATATGCTATCGTTTATCTAATAAAATATCGATACTTGGCGCCCATGTATCGATACAATATCGCCACGCAAGCCGTATCGATTATTTTTTTATTTTGTAATGCTATTTTATTTCTATTTTTCGAAGGTGTAATTAGGTAGATCATTTTGGATTGTTTATTTCTAAGTCTTTTAATTTCTCCAATGTACAATACCATACATTTTTAAGCTGCTGCAACACAAAAATGTCCCAAATTGGGATCAATAAAGTACTTCTTATCTTCTTATCTTATCTTATCAGGACTAAAACCACCAGACTCAGAGACAGTTTCATCCCACAGGCCATAAGACTGTTAAACACCTGAACTTTTGAAAGAACATCCATAACATTCATCTGTTTGCAACTTATATCAATATTCCAATTACTTATATAGACTATTCTTGCACTATTATATTATATTTTATTTGTATTTACTTGCACTATTTTATCTGTTTTATTGTGTTGCACTGTTGGAGGAGTCTGTGACCTAAGATTTGCATTGTCATATCTAAACTGTAGCTGCTGTACAAATGACAATAAAAGCCTTGAATCTTGAATCTTATCTTACCTGTAGCATCTCTTCCTCCAGGCCCTTCCTCCGCGAAGATGCTCCCCGATTACTACACCTCATCGCCTCGATCTCTTTCTCCAGAAGTGCATTTTCCTGCTCCAGGAGTTTGACCCGGCTCAGGTAAGTCTCCAGGCGTCGGTTCAGATTCAGCATCTGATGTTTCTCGTCGCCCAGGTGGAAGGATTTGTGCAGCTCCATGATAGAAAACAGAGAGATTTGGCCTCACTCAGAGGGAAACACTGATTATGATTTGGCAGCCGCCTGTATCTCCGTGTCCAGGCCTCAATCAGTGTGTGTGTCTGTGTGTCTGTGTGTGTGTGTGTGTGTGTGTGTGTGGGTGGTTTCTGTGAGAGTGAGGCTCTGGAAGTGTGAGAGGCTTCCCTTTCATACAGAAGGGGAGAGAGGAGGGGAGGAGAGGGGAGGAGACTGAAGGGATGGAGGAGATGGGAAAGGGCAGAGAAAGGGGATGATGTAATTTCCAGGGTTAACTCTTTCACTGCTGCCACTTTTTTTAACAGCTGAGACATCCAAAATGTCTGGCAGTATATCCCTGCAAGAAATAACAAGATATGTAGAAGATGGGAACTTACAGAAAGCAGGATAAAAAGAGGAATCATAGTACTGACAGACAGGGACTCAAATGACAGTATATGCAGATTAGTAGTAGTTATCAGAAATATTTTATTAGTCCCGCAGCTGTGACATTTCCAGATTAACAGCAAAAGAAACAACACAGATAAAAAGCAAATGATAAAAGGAGCAAGCTAGCATTTTAATTATAGGGAGACCGGCAGACATTAGAAAAATAAAGACAAGTACTGTAAGTATACATACAGTAAGTACACATCCATGGTTTAAGTTAAGTGAACATATACAGGTGTTGAAGTTGTATATAATGTATTATTTTGGATACAACAGTGAATACACACTATTGCTGAGTGAAGTAGCAGCAGAATATCAAAGAATGCAAGGAGTGTAAATTACATATAGTCGTGTTATTGCATAAACACATAGTCTGTATGATGTGTGGTAGTTGTAGTGGTTATACATTCTGACTGCTGCAGGAAGAAAGGGATATCTTCTCATATAGAAATCTGATATTTTGTATCGGCCTTGTACTGTCAGTGACCTCATGATACTGGAGGAGGATAAGCAGGACTCCACCATCTCCATCTAGTGGCAATCTGTCAACACTGCAATAGCCATTTCCAGTATCACACTGATACACAACTAACATTATCACAAACTCACTTTAAAATAGGAAATATTAATGGATCAGAAGACATATGTAATGAAAGCTGTAGAAGGTATTAATAGCTTGCTCTAAAGTTGTATATATTGTTTTATTGCATATAGTGTTTTGCATGTATTTCCTCACTTACGGAACGTCTACACAGCAGCGTTAAAAAAATCTTGGAGGTGGGCGTATCTGAGGCTTGGGGATTTTTTGCGAACAACCAATCACATGAATCTCCCGCCCGCGACATACGAAGCAAAAAAGCCCGAAGTAAACTGGATATAAACTCCCCAAAACAGGCGAAAACATACCACTGTCTCTGCCACCTCCCTCCATGCCTGGCTCCTCCGGTTTATATCCCGGTAGGTCTGGTCATAAAGCACCGGGTGATTCCCTACCGCTAATTTCTCCTCCATTTTTTGGAATATGAGGAAATGACCTGCGGTATGTCTCTCCCAGCATACACGCCGTTTGATTGGCTAGAGCTTGAACTGCCAGATTTGCGTACACAGGATTTGATTGGCTGACGCTTCCACCTCAGCCTCAAAAGTTGAACATTGCTCAACTTTGAATCCTCAAAATCCTCAAAATCTCCGCTCGCCTGCCCACAATGCATTTTGGCGAAAAGTGAGGGAAAGTGACGTCACCCCATTCAAAGTGAATGGGCAGAAGCGTTTCAAGATTTTTTTAACGCTGCTGTGTAGATGTACCGTTACTGTTGCTATATAAATTAAAACCAACCAGACTGATTTTAATCTTTTAAATCTAACATATTTTGACCCGCTTAAATGCCTTTGAGGAAGGTTTCCTCCACGGCTAGTTTGATTACAGATCCTACCTTATACTAAATATGAACAGATCTGGAAGCTTCCTCTGATAAAGAGGCAGTGCTCATGCAAGTGACACCACAGCCGTTTTGAAGTTCTGTTTTTCTTCAAACACTATTTGCAGTCACTGTCATTGTTTAATCCGAGGCTCGTGTTGCTAAGGAAATACATTTGTAATCCTTCTGTGGTTTGGCAGTTAGGCAATTGGGTATTAAAAGTATGAGCTTATAAGCCACTTGTATAAGGATACAAGATGGCAGCAGCTTTGAAAAACACATTACTGTCAAATATGATTAGCTGTACATAATTACTTTATCCGGAAGATGTTATTTTTCTAAAGCTTGTTAAGATACACAATTATCCAGTTGTGGAAAAATACTTAGATCCGTTACTTAAGTAAAAGTACTAATAAGAGAAGAGATAAGATGTACTTTATTGATCCCAAATTGGCACATTTTTCAGTGCAGCAGCATAGAAACAAAACAAGGCATTGCACATAAGTAGAAATGAAAGAGTAGAAATAAACAATACTGGAAATTAAACATCTCAAAGTAGAATCCAAGCAGCATTAAAAAGTAGAGAATATACAGTAGACCGTGAAGATAAAAAATCTATAAACTCTGACAATAAAACACTATTAATGCAAAAATCTACACCTACTCCATTACAAGTAAAAGTCCTAATTTTTTATGTTTTTAAAAGCTCAATAAATAACAAAGAAGACCTTTGACCGGCACTTTTCTAATTTTGTCCGGAAGATTTAAACTTTAACGGACATCTTGACCGGCGAAAGAAAACCTAACTGAAACTCTGCCGCACGGTCCCCTCGTTCATTGGAAGAGGCGGAGAGGTGGGTGTTTGTCATCTGCTGGTGGACTAACCGGAGATAATTACAGTGCTTGCCTCGACGGGGAGGGATTGCATTGAATTAAAGCAGCGGGAGCAAACGCTTGCCTCGGGGAGGAAAAAAAAAAGCCACAGCGGAGAATAAACAGAAGGGTAACCATGGTAACCATGCGCGGGAAGTCTTCTTCGCTGCTTTTGTGGCAGACTACAGCGCCACTTACAGGCCTGGCATATGTACTACAGCGTCTCCAGCGCTTTCGAGCGGCAATGGCCGGCCGTGGCCCAACCCCACATTCCCCTGATAGGTGGAGAGTTGGCCCAATAGCCGTAGCGCCACTTTCCTGACGTCAGGACAGTGTTCAAATCTGGATCAGTTTTTATCAGATCCGTTGCAGCCCCTTTTTTAGAGATTTGGGTATGGAGGAAAATAGAGAGGGTTGTGTTTTCTGACACTTGGTGAGTTCCCTGGAACACCGGGGACACATATTCATGTAGAAAAGACGTACAAAAGTGCATTTTGCATGATAGGTCCCCTTTAAGTAAAAGTACAGAAGTATTATCAGCTAAATGTACTCACGTTTCAAAAGCAAAAGTACTCATTGTGCAGAATGTCTTTTATTAATGTGTTTTATTATTATATGGAATATTGTTTTGTTGTAATGTGTCAGTATGGAGTACATTTTAAAAACGGAGTGAATGAAAAAGTAGAAAATATATATCATGTTAACAAATGTATTTATGTTAAAAGTAACTACACGTAAGTAGAACGTAGCTGAAATGCAGACTCAAGTACAAGTACCCCACAATTATACTTGAAGGTAGGGTAGGTAAGAATGGAGAAACCAGCTCGAGTGCGCTAGAATTTGAAAGTACGCAGCCGAAAAAAATCTGCCTCTTCCTTCAGACTTCCTTACAGAGCCCCTCCTCCAACACACACGGACGCGCACATGACCAATGAGGGCACGAGATAAGTTTGTGCACAGATGGAAGGCTGACAGGCAGGTAGGCCATCCAGTTATTTTAGCCCGGCCGGCTCAAATGATTGGTCGTGCTTTTTACAGCGCCACGGCTTCCACAGATGAAATATTTGTATGTATTTATTGTCAAAGCATTTAATGTATTCATTGCTATCGGGATGTTAAGAGCATTCCATGGAATATAACAACAAGTGTTTCTGAAGTGAATTACCTACCCCACCTTTAAGTGCAAAACTTGAATACATGTTCTTAGTTACTTACACCACAGCAAGAGTCTGCAACATTTAAAATGACATATTCATACAGCACCTAGAGTGAGGAATTGAATATTTCAAGTAAACAAATAGTAATACCCAGAAGTAAGTTGCGGAAACTGCTTTTAAATACTTTACCTCTTTTCAAGCTGCCTAATTCATGAAGTGACAATCAAAATAATTTCTGTATCAACTGCGCAAACACAATACAGTTGCACAATATATTATTGCACAAAACATGAGAAAGGTCATGGAAGGTCACCAAAAAAAGAAGAAATACAAATAATAGCTGTGTTGTAGTGACTGGATATGACCTTAGAAATAACCGTATGTCCTTTTGAGCCATAAGGTTGCTGGTAAAGGATAAGGTCACCAACATGTTTTAATAATAATACCATGGAAACCATAAAGTAGTGCCCTGTTTATTGAAATAATATTTAAATAAGATAAGATAATTTTATATTTAACTTTTCTTTTTTTAAGGATCAGTGTTGAGAACACACACACACACACACACACACACACACACACACACACACACACACACACACACACACACACACACTCACACTCACACTCACACTCACACACTCACACTCACACTCACACTCACACTCACACTCACACTCACACTCACACTCACACTCACACTCACACACACACACACACAGGGTATTTGTTGTGGCTTCCTGAAAGTTCATTTATATTTGAAAAGAGATCTAACTATTTACATTTGTGGGTTTTTCCGTAAAACAAAACAACAAATCCTGGGCCATAACAGGAAAGAATTTTAAGGACATTCTGTTTTTATGGTTTATGTATGACATTTAAACTTGTGGGCCCTTCTTTTTTCTTTTTATTTCATGTTGTTATAATTTTTATGGCCAATTTGATCTTTATTTTCAACTGCCTCTTTGAAGTAATCAGATATTTGCAACACCAGGTCAGCTTGTTCCTGTGACAAATTAAGCCATTTTCCTGTGAGATAATTTTCTATCTGTAGTCTGCGTTACTTTGAAAGTTGAGAATATTGTCAATGACTGTTTTTAGATATTTAGAGTGAGTGACCTGCTTCACTTTCTGGTAAAGGTTTACTTTCTCTCCCAAGAGTCACAACTAATAAAAGAGAAGCAGAGTCTAGTGTAAAATCCTCCAGATATTTGGATAAAACTCCCAGAAAACTGCAGGTCGGCCGCAACTCTTAGGATCCTGCCTTTAATTAAAGCAAATAATGACTCCTATCTTACACTGAAATGTAACTTTTGTATTGTATTTTATACCTGTCTTTTTCTATGTTAGCTTGTTTTTATTTGTATTCTCTTGGCTAATCTAGTTGACCGTGTGAGCCATCGTTAGCAATACCTGTTGATAACAATGCAGTATTCTTTTGCACACATGTTCACATAATGAAATTGGACATTTGGACAGATTTAATCAGATACAAAGGACAAAGAAAGGCTAATAAACATTATATCATTGCAACTTTAACTGCCAACAAAAAGGGGCCGGGTTTTAGTTACATTTTTGACTGGAAAGCTGGATCCGTTACTCACATCTAGGACTTGGAAGCTGCCATTAGGCGTTTTCACACCGGAGTACTTTTACCCGTACTTTTCCCGTTTATTTCCGATAGTTCCTGGGATTTTGCGTTCACACCAAAAAGAGAACTTAGTTCAGAGAACTTTTACCCCCATTTTCCTGGGGAGAAAAAAGTTCCAATTTCTGATTGGCTGGGCGAATTGCAAACCACGCCCCGTAAAACTCTGCACATTTTTTTTGAAGCTGCCATTTTATTTCCTCGCATCAGCATTATTAGCATTAGCATTAGCCCCGCGTGCCAACGGAGAGAGACTAACTTATGGCAACAACAAAAAAAAACATGGGAGCGGTGGAGTGATGAGGAGGTGTCGGCGTTCTGGCGATTTACTCGGAAGGCTTCAGTAGAAGCTGCTGGGAGTCCCAGCAGCTTCTACTGAAGCCAGTCCCCAACTCCGGGGACTTCCGGCCGGGGACTTCGGGTAGCAGTATACGCCGTGAAGTTGTTTGCGGCCTGCCAGTAAACCCAAAGCAGAAAAAAAAGAAGTGATGTCAGCGGCTTCATTTGCGTAATCTTCCCTCAGGGAACTTATTCCGGTGTGAACGCGATCTGTACTTAGTTCCATGGGGGCACTAAGTGCTGGGAACTAAGTACGGCAAAGTACTTGGTGTGAAAGCGGCTAATGAACCAGGTGTGAAGGTGCTTTGATTGGTGATTTGCTGAAAGCAGTTTCCTACCACTTTACATTTCCACTCCACTACAATCCAGAGACACATATTGTACCTTCTACTCGTGCTATACTATGAAATATAAAGGTTTTAGCCTCAAAAAGAGCTAGAACGTTTCCCTGTGGAACGCAGATATTCAGGATAAGGCATTCGGAGAAAATGTAATCATTGCAAACTTTAATCCTTAACTCTCTGAACCCACTGTACAGTATTTAATTTTACCTTCTGTCTATCATTCTATTTTACATGTGTAAAGTTAACTTCGTTCCGCTTTTTACTTGCACTGTTGGGTCACTTGTAGGGGTGTTGAAAATAATCGTTTCTACGATGCGATGCGGACGTGGACGATTCGGTATCGATGCAGTGACGGAAGATAACCGATTATAGCGTAGTAACGTTGCTTCCTGATTTTCCGGCCGCGGCTTTACTATAACGTTTTTTTTTCTGTCACTTTAATATCAAATCGGTCGGTGACGCAGAGATCAGGGAACAGACGTGACAGCCACAGCGGCACCAAACACGGAGCAGTCTGCTTTATCCACCAACACAAGAACACCAGTCCAGAACCAACAGCAGAAGGACCCGCTCTGAATCACTCCGTGTCGCTGCGGCTCAGAGACACAAGGATTTATGTTTTTCAAAAATAATCGCGTTACAATTAATCATGTCAGGTTTTTGGTGGATTTAATTAAGTCTTGGATTGCAGAGTATGAATGTCCTCTAGCAATTTTCAGACGATATATACGTGTGTAAAGTTTGTGAAGGCAGGAGGAAAAAAGCTTCCACGATCACCGTCTCCTCTCCGTTCCTCCAAGCCCCGCCCCCTCCCTGAAAATAATGAGTGACAGGCTGATAGTGACCCGATAGAAACTTTATTATTCACTTAATCACTGATTGAGATATAGTGAAGCTAACTTAATCTCATACATTCATGGGATTTATGTAACAGTAAGACAGAGAATGTAAGTGTGCACCCACATGCACTATTTTAGTTTGTATATGCTATTGTAAATACTCCTGTTGTCTGCTGTGTTCAGACTCAAGTCCTGTGTGTGATGCCACATTCAGGACATTCAGTGTCCTTTCTTTAACAGAAGGCCGTTGCTAGAAGCTGCAGCTAAACTGCAGAAGCATTAGTTTTTTGTTTTTGAGGATGGAACAACTTCACACACAGATATAGGGAGGCTAGACCTATACAATTAATTTATTTTGGTTTATAAATTAATGTCAAGACATTTATGTTATTGATTTCTGAAGCACTTTCTAAATAATAAAAAGAGAGTTCATATGTATTTACTGCATGTATGCATTGATGAAAAATAAGCCATGTGCAGTAATATAGAAAATTGAGGATGCAACGCATTGGTATGAATCGTGATGCATCGTGATGCATCGGGATATCGAATTGAATCGAATCGTTGACAGGATAATCGTAATCGAATCGAATCGTGAGACCAGTGAAGATGCACAGCCCTAGTCACTTGCGTCACTCTTTTGCACTATTTTATTTATAGTTCTTCTTGCAGTCTTTGTATGGCTTAAGTATATAGATGTTGCCTTGTTGGAGCCTGAGACTTCAGATGTCATTGACAAAACTACGCTGTAGCAATTGTGCATATGACAAATTAAAGCCTTTGAATCTTTGAACCCAAGGACAAGAAATAAATCCAATTAAGTACAAATACATATATGTTAGCTTTATCGAAATAAACATGCATTTATTTCGGTTTAAGATCTAATAAGAAAAGTCATGCATACAACTAGTGTTGAGACTTATCCTAGAACAGGAGCAATATGGACATTGCAGAGACTGTGAACAAGAAAAACACAGTCTCTTAAAGTCTCATATGTGGAGAGATATCAGTAATACACATACAAATATAAGCATTAAAACTAACCTAAAGTAAAGTGACACACATATTGGACTTTGTATTGCATTTATTTTATGACCGTATTTAGTATTAATGAGTGTATGAATAAGAGTTAGAAAGTGTGTCACTAATTTCGAGACGGAGAAGTGGAGGAATAGTGTCATTACCACTGGGGCTGCCTTCATTTGTTTACCGTGCGTTCAGTTTCCTGATACTGAGCAAACACCTAAAGCTCAAAGTTACTTATCAACAACTCCCCCCCCCCCCCCCCCCCTCCCCCCTCGTTCTGCATGGGCTCCCTTTGTAATCTTGCTTTTTATGGAAGATTACATTTCCATAAAGCAAGAACACACAATTTATTTCTAAGGTCCATGTTCAGTCACGTGAATCCGATGCAAATGAACTTCTCGACCAAAACCAGAAGAGAGGAAACAACCAGTTCTCCTATTGCGATGTCCAGAGGTTTAATTAAAGCAACACTTCTCCGTCTACGAGTCAGAGAGGGCTCAACAGAGCGGCTGTAGTGATGGCGGAGGGAGAGGAGGAGGTGAACTACGCTTCGGTTGTGTTCAAAGTCGGCAACAATCCTCCACCTGCGGGTAAGTTTAGTTATTTTATTTAACATTAACAACTTTCAGTTCCTGCTGATGATTTTGAATCAGAGCCTAAATCTTTGAAGTACTTCAATCCAAAGTAAGTTGCTGTGTTTAATGTCCTGTAATTGAAATGTGAAACCAGAAACATGAAAAATCTGTAAATAATTTTAGAGAAATTGTTAAAAGGCTGTTTTTTAATTGTTTAGTGTGGGTGAAGATTAGATTTTTAACTAACCCAGCACATTTGCATTGATGTTTTGCAAAATCACAATGTTGAGTGTAAACTTTTCACTACAAATGAACCAAGAAAACTCACCATCGCAGTTGTGCATCTAGGTTTTAATAATAATTTTAATATGAGTTCTCTTGGTTCATCAATGAACATTTTTGGTAGAAATAAGCCTTCTTTATTCATGTATACCACATTGACAAAACCCTTTTAAATCTAGAGTAGTTTGAAACCTTTGAACACCTCATCCTATTTCAATTTAACTTCAATTCATATTTCTTTGACTCTTAAAAAGATTCAAACTGATGGTCATTTGTTGGGTATTTTAATTTATATTTAGCGACTGGAGGTATATCATCAGGAACACATCTATTTAAAACCAGTGAGGAAATTGCGAAGTGAGATAGTTATCTGTTGATAGTTTCCCGTATCATGTCGTTTCCATTTTTAAACGACATGATACAATACCTGAAACACAATCTCATCATTTTGAAGCTGCCCATTTTAATGCACTTTGAGGAAAAGACTGCATTTTTGCATCATCGTAAGGCAATTGTTCTGCTATATCAAACAATGAAAGCAGCCTTTAAAAGTCCTTCTCATTTATTCACTAAAAGCCCTGTGCATTTCCTTTGACCTTTCAGCAAAGAGAGGGGAGGAAACTGTGTACGGTGAGGTGAAGGTGCAGAATGAAACAAAGAACAAGGGTAAGTTGTATTAAAAAAAGCATTCAGGTGTTACTGCAACTGGGAGTGCTACTGCTACCACTACTACCACTACTTTACCATTATAACTATCATTAAAAGGGAACAAGTTCACAGGAACTACTAAAGTTTATATCTGTAGGTGCTTTGTCAGTGATCCTAGCACTCTAACAAAGCCGTACAATATTGGGAGTGTGCAGTGTGACAAATGTCAACGTCTTGCAGACAGGGCATCCTGGTCTTATTAAAAAATGATGGTGGAAAGCTCCACTGTCTTTTCTCCCGTTTGTTTTTGACATATCTAAAATAGGTTATAATCATAGTATGCATAAGTCTTTATGTCAAATCATTGTTGACTTGTTTTAAGTAACAAAAAAGTACTTTTTAAGCCAAACCCAGACCTTTTACCAGAGTATTCTGGTCCTTTTGTAAAACGACTGATACCATGCGGTACAATTATCCTTTACAAGTAGAAGTACAGCATTGAAAATGTTACTTGAGTAAAAGTAAGTAAGTATACAAAGCAAACTGTACTTAAAGTAATCATTGTACACGACACAGAAAAGTTAGAAATTAAAGAAAAAACACCCAAAAAACGGTTCTAATTAAATAAAATAAACTTAAATGTGTGCAGATGCCAATTAAGTTTCTTTATTTATTATCTAGTTTGTCTTATCGTCCATCTGTTCATATTTATAACAACACATTATATTTTTTAAATAATAATGCATCTGAATTATTAACTTACTATAAATGTAGTGGAGTAAGATATATGTCCGGCAGTGGCTCAGTCAGTACTTGGACTGGGAGCCGTAGGGTCGCCGGTTCAAGTCCCCGACCAGACCTAAATATGGAGTGTGGACTGTTACTTGTAGAGGTCCCAGTCCACCTCCTGGGCCCTGCCGTGGTGCCCTTGACCAAGGCACCGGACATCCCCCTTCCCCCCTCACTCCCATTGCTCCCCGGGTGCTGTACAATAGCTGCCCACTGCTCCTAGTACTAGACTCCTGGTACTAGGATGGGTTAAAAGCAAAGAACACATTTCACTGTGTGTGACCATTAAAGAGGGTTTCATCCCTCCCATTCCATTCTATTCTATTCTATATGATACCTTTGAATTGTAGTTGAGTTAAATCATACAGTGGCATGAAAAGAAAATACTCAAGTAAAGTACAAGTACCTCAAGTGTGCACTTAAGTACAGTATGATTAAATGTATTCAGTAACATTCTACCACTGCCTTTTACTTTATCAAGTGGTTTTGCTGCTTTTTAAGGGGGTTTTATCTGCAACGATGTTAGCGTACTAAAAACTGTGAATGACTCAGACTAAATATGAGGTTCGTTTTTAGGAAATCTCTTGCGAACGGTTATTTAGAGATTGAACTTTTGTGGTGTACTGCAATAATGTTACAGTGACTAATACTCAAGACCTACCGTAACTCTCACTGGAACACTTTTAGCAAAGTACATAAAGCAGTTTCTCAAAACACAATGGGTTCACAACTCTTTAAGTCGGCCCTTTAACAAAAGTCAGGTGCCCGTTTAAATATTTGAACAATCTTTCGCTGTCCATATCACTCCTTTTGTTTATTTAGGACATTTCTCATACAATGTAAGTGATAGGGGACCAAATGTACTCCTTTGTTCTGAACTGTATTCCAAAGTTTGACTGACTAACATAAGGTTCAAGCATCTGAGTTAGTCAAATCAACTTGGTATCCTTTCCTGTCTTTTACCTTTTACTCATAAAAAAAAAAGATCCATCTGCATTTACCATACTGTATACTGTCCTAGTTGAAAAGTGACACAATATCTGTACTAAGGAGACTGTAACTTTGAAAGGTACCAATCTTCATTTGGACAGTTAATGTGATTAATTTGTGTTGTTTAGACTCAGCAGGACATCGGCGGTTTCAGCACTTGGCTTGTTGTTTGGGGATTATTTGTGTCATTCTGCTGGGTGGCATCATCGGAGTCTGCGTCTACTGTAAGTACACAAAACAGGAAGTGCATTATCTCACACTTAGACATAAGACAACCCTTAAAGAATAGTAGCAGCCGTTTTATCTGTTTATACCATTTGATATCAGTCATGTACATGCCACAGTATAACGGTGTAGAAAGTATTATTATGAGCGTCTTACAGAGTGGTGCAATGATGACGTATTTTTGCAGGCCAACATGGAGGTAGCATCCATTAATGTATTGTGCTTGTTTTCCCAAATAAAGCAAAATTATCAATCAAGAAGTCATTCATGTGGATGAATACATTTATTTGTTTGAGACTTTCCTATACTGTACATACCTGCAGGCACCATTATTGGGAAATATGTCCTGCAGTGGCTCAGTCAGTAGGGGCTTGGACTGGGAGCCGTAGGGTCGCTGGTTCAAGTCCCCGACCAGACCTAAATATGGAGTGTGGACTTCTACTTGGAGAGGTCCCAGTTCACCTCCTGCCCTGCCGTGGTGCCCTTGAGCAAGGCACCGGACACCCCCCTTCCCCCCCACTCCCATTGCTCCCCGGGCGCTGTACAATAGCTGCCCACTGCTCCTAGTACTAGACTCCTTGTACTAGGATGGGTTAAAAGCAGAGGCCAAATTTCACTGTGTGTGCTGTGTGCTCTGCATGTGTGACCATTAAAGAGGGTTTCATCCCTCCCTATTCTATTCTATTCTATCTAAATACAGACAAGTGCATGCATACAAATAATTAAAAGATGAGTCAAGACATATTCTATATTTCCCTTATTCTTAACAAATCACATGATCAGACCCAAACGACAATGAAAGTCTATCTAATGTCAATCTATTAACAAATGTCATGTGTCTTTCATGTTACTGAGTCTCTGTGAAGTTCTGAGTTTATCCCACACTCACTACCCACCAGCGCTTGCTATTTCACAAAATGTGTGGCTTGAAGACTTCCCCATTTCACTCCTCTCTTAGTAATGTTGACTTCAAACCACAGTGACAAGCAGTTTCAGGCAATGTGAAATATAAATGAGAATTGGAGAAGTCAGAACACTTTGAGACAAACTGAGACATTTTTAGTTTGAGTCTAAAGACCGGAAAACTTAACGTGAGACTGACAGGAAAAAGCTTCCAAAAGAGGCAAATTGACAAAAAAACAAATTGCATTAAAACCTTGATTATAAAATAAGCTAATTTCTCATTTTGCAGTTGCTACATTAATTCAAAAGAGTGATCCAAACCAGTTAAAAGAAAACTCAACTCTACGGGCAATCAACACAAAACTCAGCTTAGAAAATGCAAACTTGACGATGGACAACAAGAATCTGACGAACCAGTTGTGCAACCTGACACAAGCCTATCATGTCTCAGAGAGCAACGTCACAAACCTGTCAGCAGGAGTCCAGGAGCTGACAACACAAAACCAGCAGCTGGAGACTGAGAAGAAGAACTTGAAACAGCAAATTGAAAACATGACAACAAACTGGAATGAGCTCAACGTCAGTCGAGCTCAGTGGAGCATCGATTCCTACTGCTTAGGAAATACCGGTATGTTCAGATCCTATATATTAGGTCATTATTACAATATTTTCAAAAGGCAGGCATGTTGTTGATTGTTTGGACTCTGTTGTTTCAGATAAAAAGTGTCAACCTTGTCAGAAGGGCTGGGGACTCACTGGTCTCAGCTGCTATGCGTATAATAACCCTCCTCATCCTGGATGGAAAACCTGGGAAGAAGCTCGAGAAGACTGCAAAGGAAAGAATTCAGATTTGGCTGTTGCACATGATTCAGAGGAAAAGGTAAACCCATTAATATGACGCAATTAAGAAAGTAATTGTGTTTTGTGTAGGTTTGAACACACTTTGGGTCTTTAGGTCATTATGTGTTTATTACAGTTTAATGTTTAAATATCTGACAACTCTCTCTGTTTTCCAGGCAGCAATCAAGAAAGAAAGCTTTGGATATAATGGATACTGGATTGGTCTGAGAGTTGTAAATAAGAAATGGGAGTGGGTGGATGGAAGTAATCTGACTGATAGGTAAGAGACACATTACTAAACACTTTGAATAATAAAATCTATCAGCCTTTATCTAAACATCATGTTCTCTCCTCAGCTCCTGGATACCAGCTCCTGTTGACGGTCACTGTGCAGTGTTTTACAACAGCAGAGACACATGGTCATCAGTGAGCTGTGATGACCACAAACAATGGATCTGCCAGAAGAAGGCTCTGTCTGTTTAAACAAAGCAGTCATACTAAGAAGGTTTCTGGAAACTCTTTGAAAAAAATATGAATTACTTGTGAATAAAAACAATTTCCAAACAAAAATATAAAACAAAAAAAGGATAAAAACAGTAATTCCAGAAACGTTTCACAAACTCGATACAAACAATAAAACACAAAAGTTAACTCGTAATGTGGATTATTTTAAAATCAATGTACTTTTAGTTTGACTTCATTTCTATGGAGCTTGCTAAATTAATGCAAATATTTATTTCTTTAACATTTTTATGGTGTTTTTATTAGATATGGAAGGTTAAAATAGTTAAACTGTTTTGTGTGAATAATGTTATTCTATTGTGTTAGAGATGCAACGCTTAAACTCAGCAGATTATTGCAAAGATTATGGACCATTTTATTTGATTGCTTCTACCGGCCAACAGAGGGCGCTGCATCACTTGTTCTCAATACAATGTTCCAGAGTCTGTTTAATAACTATTTTTCAAGATTCAAGATTCAAAGGTTTATTGTCATGACATTTAGAAACTACGGTGTAATTATGTAATGTATAAAAAATGTGATCGCAGGTTCCTTAACAGTGCAATTAACAAGACATAAGAAATACATATAAAAAACAACATTACAAATAGAAATAGTGCAAGCTCAGGTGTTTAATAGTCTTATGGCCAGTGGGATGAAACTGTCCCTGATACTATTCTGATGACGCACACTTTATGGATGATTTTTATCTATCTGTATTTTTGTCACTGAGCAATGTCATGTTTTACTCTGTTGTCACCAGTGAATAAATGGGCTGCCACACATTGTTGTTTTTGTCTTTTCCTTGAAGACATCAGTGCTTTAATCAAGTCTGGAGAAACAATCTTATTCATGGTGCAACCATTTTAATGAAAAATAAGATAGAAGGAGATCAGGCCTCAATATTCAGTCACTCTGTCAACATCAGCACCTGCAGAGTTTCAGAGAGGGACAGGAAGTGGAATTGAACCGGATGAAAAACTGCAAAAACTAAGGTGACAAACGCTGCCAAACATTGTGGTTGTGGGATTGGTGTGTCAAGGTCTCTGAGGAAGCATCATATTGTGTATTTTATCTTTATCAAATGAAGCTCCAGTCTTTTTTTCTGGTTTTACATTAAAGTCAAAATATGTTTGGCTGTGGTTCTGTTTCTGACCATCAAACAAGCCCATGGTAGGCAACAGACACCCAAACTTAAGCAAAGATACTTAGTGTTTATTCTGTAACATCACGCTCAGCCTATTCATTTAGCCATGTTTAGTTCTTGTTACTAACGTCATGTTTCGGTGTTCGTTATCAGGTTAATCCTAAAGGTTTCATGTTTAGTTCATATGTTTAGGGTTAGGGTTTAGTCATGTCTTGTTGTTAACGTGTTAATTTACTGTCACTTGTGTCTCGTCTGTCATTGCACTTCCTGTTTTATTTACCCCTCCGTCTCTTTTCAGAGCTCTTGACTTTCACAGCATTTGTGTGTTTTCCCGACACTGTGATTGTCGGCCTCAACCTTGATTGTTGCCGCCTGTGTCCCATGAACTCTTCTATGAATAGTCCTCGTGTCCCTTTGTCCTGTGCCAGTTTGTCTTGTTTCGTACAATGTCAAGAGAGCCAGAGTTTTCCAAGCTAACATCTTCAGTTTCAAGAGCCACATTCAGTTAGTCTTTGTTTTTTTGCCTTTGCCAAAATGAATAAAGTTCATTTTTGTACTTTTGTGTGGAGTCGTGCAGATGAGTCCAAGTCTCTGTGTCACTTCCCTGACATATTTATTAATCACTTCAATGTTGCAGCTGAAACAGAAGGATTGAGTCGTTTCTAAACGATATACTATTAGATATCTTGTGAGATTCTTCTTCACATATAACAATATAACATATCTGATAAGTGGAGTGGAAGTATAAAGTAGCAGGAAATGGAAAATACTCAGTAAAGTAAAGTACATCAAAAATGCTACTACTACAAATGTACTTCATAATTTTACCGAAAGCCAATCAGAGCACACTGGGCTTTTCAGAAGGGCTTTCTAAAGAGACTAAGTGTTTGTCCTTGTCGTTTTCTTTCATATTGCTCGTCGAAGTTATCAGTACGTAAATCAAGCCAAATAAGGTCAAAACTATTCGATAGGTTGCAACGTGTCTGACACTGAAGTATTTTAAAACACCGATACCATAACCTCAGAGCAGAAGTCCCCTAAAGAGCGTCACATCAGAGCAGACGCTCTCTAACAGCCTCAGGTCTGCAGCAGGACTTCAGACTCTTGTCCACGATGAACAGAAGAACTCAGCAGGAAATGGGTAATTAAATATTTTCTAATTTGTATGTGTGAGTGTGTAAAACATTGCTTTTTTCTTTTACCGAAACATTGCCTACATTCTTTCCTGTTTATAGTGTTTCTGATGCTTGATCAGATCTGAGCAACAAAGTGTTTAAAATAACATTTATTTCAAATGTGATCTTTAAAATTGTGATTTTCAAACTCTGATAAACACAGAATTATAAATTCAATGCATTTGTTTCTCTCTGAATAAATGTAGTAAGAAACTGGCGATGTATCAACATCTTCTTATGACAAAATAAATGTGTTTATTTAAAGAATATTGTAGTTTGTCTAAGGGTTTTTAGTTTCAGCAGAAAGATATTTGTTTGTTATTTTAAAGAAAAAGTCAGTGTGAGAACCGAACAATTCTCTGTGTGTGGTTTTTAGTTCTGCTTTAGATTAATATCTGGAGATGAACGTTACTCATACATTAAGACTTAACACATTTGTTATCTTTCTATGTAGAAGTGCGTTGTTGACTTCTGCTTCTGATTCCGTACATAACTGCAACTGTTTTTAAATATCGATTTAATCCCAAAATCCATCTTTCAGTACAATGGTTCCTCATGGATGCTCAACATACTGGGAGTAAAACTGCACTCAAATATAAATGATGTGTTTATCTTTCAGAGGAAATTGAAGAAGAAGAAGAAGAAGAAGACTATGTTAATGCCTCAAGAGGCGCTGTGGATAAAAAGAGAACCCGTCCAGGTGCATTATGAACAGAAAACAATTCACATTTTATATTGTCATCAATGGGATTTATGCAGCAATCATAGTGTTCTTTTCATTTCATTTCAAACCTTTATTTATCCAGGTTGTATCCCATTGAGATCATTGATCTCTTTTTCAAGGGAGACCTGCTCAAGTAGGTTCCACATGAAACATTAAAAACATAAACAGAACAACAAAAAGGACATCATACAGTAGCATTACAGGGATTACAATTTACATAACTATCCACATGAACAGGTACCAACAGCTTCCGATTGAGTAGCATCCAACCGAGCTTTAAAAACATTTAGTGGCACCAGATTGCTCAGTTTCCATTTCAATTGCAGACTATTCCAGGACAGTGGAGCTGTGCATCTAAATGCTATCTTCCCTAAGACAGTCCTAGCAGTTGGCACATTTAATAAAACCACAGCATGCGATCTCAGGCAGTAGCCACTTACAATTCGCCGTGAGATCAGGGAGCAGATGTAGGATGGAAGTTTCCCTAACATGGCTTTATATATAAAAATGTACCAGTGACTGAGCCTCCGTACAGTTAGAGAAGGCAAGCCAGCCCTTGCATACAGGGTACAGTGATGGGTTAATACTTTACAGTGTTCAAGAATGGGAGTAAAGAAAGTTGAAAGTGTGAACATTTAATCGTGTCTTTTTGTTCTAAATGTATCCTAAGCATCTGTGACTGTCATGTTGTTTAGGTTTTTTAACTGAATTATTATTTTTCAGGCCGGAGGTTTTTTCTTCTGATAGCAGTGTGTTGGTGGCTCATACTGTTAGCCATCATGGGTCTCCGTATCTACTGTGAGTATCTTCTGTGTGAATGTCAGTTCAACAGTTTGTATTAGATGTGACCTGAAGCTCTGTAACTCTGTCTGTTGACCAAACCACATCTCCCCTCTCGTTTGCTGCAAATATTCTGCAATAGGAGGCTGTAATGTGTGTCAAGGGGGAAGTGTGTGTGTGAAGGTGTCTTCCTGTTCTCCATATTTTGCAAAAGGCAGTGGTTTGAAATGTCAGAGCTGTTGTAAGATGTCTACAATACAGAGGAGACCAGTCACTTTCCAAATGTAGTTAGCTCTTTGCTATGTGAAGCAAACATGTGAACCTATTCTTCAATGTTTATCAAGAACATTAAATCACTCAGAGACACAAGCCTTACAGCCCAACACCTTCCTCTGTCTGTGTCTGTAGTGACCTATGAACTTTCAGGAAACAATGCCGAGCTGTACTCACGAATCCAGGAGCTGGAGACACAGAAGAAGAACTTGAAACAGCAAAATACAAGACATGACACCAAAAAGGATTGAGTTCAACGGATGTGTGTGAATGGAAGTGATCTGACTGATAGGTAAGAGATTCATTGCTAAACACTTTGAATAATAACATCTATCAGCCTTTGTCTAAACATCATTTTCCATCCTCAGCTCCTTTAATGCAGAGGCTGTTGACGGTCGCTGTGCAATCTCTGTCCTGAGAGAAAACAATTGGGTATCAGTGAGCTGTGGTGACCACAAACGATGGATGTGCCAGAAGAATTCTTTATCTCTATCTTTTTAAACAGGACAGTCATACTAAGAAAGTTACTCTCTTTGATTGAAGAAAATGAAATACATGTACAGGCCTATAAATGTAAAACTATGGATTATCCTACTTAAAGGTGGGGTATGTAATTCACTTCAGAAACACTTTTTGTTATATTCCATGGAATGCTCTTAACATCCCGATAGCAATGAATATATTAAATGCTTTGACAATAGATACATAAAAAAATGTCATCTGTGGAAGCCGTGGCGCTGTAAAAAGCACGACCAATCATCTGAGCCGGCCCGGCTAAAATAACTGGATGGCCTACCTGCCTGTCAGCCTTCCATCTGTGCACAAACTTATCTCGTGCCCTCATTGGTCATGTGCGCGTTCGTGTGTGTTGGAGGAGGGGCTCTGTAAGGAAGTCTGAAGGAAGAGGCAGATTTTTTTCGGCTGCGTACTTTCAAATTCTAGCGCACTCGAGCTGGTTTCTCCAAAATTACATACCCCACATTTAAGTACAAAAATAAAAATAAATTCCAAACATTTAAATAGATTTTAGCTTGTCAAACAAAAAAGGAAGAAAATAACGTTAATTACATAAACTTTGCATAAACTTAATACATTTAAGCAATAGCTCACGACAGGCGTGGTTCGGCCCATGCTATTTGAATGGTGGTACTTTTCCAGTTGGTCTACCTGCTCTTCATGTGGCTCTGCATGTCGTCGTTTAGGTGCTTTCTGGAGATAGGCACTGCTCAATCCACTCCTCCATAGTGAGGCCACCCCGGAGGTCGAAGTTAACCTTAAATGTTTCCATCTTGAGCTTTGTTAGTTAGTTAGTTTCGTAACGGACGTAATGTAACAGTTGTAACGGTTGTAGCTTTTTCTCAGACGCGGAGGGATACATGACTCGTGAAAAGTAACTACAATTCTACCTGTGATATACTGTGATGCCCCTGTGGGTCCATCATTAGAGAGGGTGTGGCTGTCCTGTCTGGGCTGTGTTGATTGCACTGATTGCAGTAACTCAGCTATTTAAAGCCTCTCTGTGCTCGCTCTGCTTTTCCCTACAGGCCTCCGGTTTTGTTGAGTATATGCTGTTGTTACTTTAGTTGCTTTACTTTGTGCACCTCAACACCCTCACACATATACGTCCATGCAACCCTCACCCTGCATTTACACTACTGATACCACTGACGTCCACACCTCATGCTTTACTTATTGTTGCACTTCATTTGATTTGGCTAATTTGAATTGTTTGGTTAAATAACCATATTTTAGTAACCGTTGACATGGTGTGTCTCCTCTTTGTTGTGGCCTTTTGAGCCAGGTCGTAACAAATGGGGGCTCGTCCGACGGGTTATTTGGTTAAAAGTTTGTGTAGGGCTCAGAGCACATGGTGTCATTGAGCAGCTAATTAGTTGATGTGGTCCAGCTGTGTGCTGGCTTGGCGCTGCTATTTGGGAGACACATCATGTCTTTTGTGTTTCAGGAAGCTTTAGTGTTTGACATGGCGTCAGGTTTTGTGTGCCAATCAGAAGGTAAGATGTTGCTGTTTGTTACGCTTTTGTAAAGACATTTTCCCCGCTAGGCTTAAGTGGTGTTTCCCCTTGGGTTGCGTCTGTTTGTTTTTTTCATAGTGTTGTGGCGACGTGGTTAGTGTCAGCTGTTTTCGGACAGCTGTCTCGGGGGCACGTTCACATGATTTTGTGGTGTTGCCTGCGTGCAGGTCGCTCCATAATTCCGCCGGGTTCCAGTGCGTAATTACCCGCCGCAAGCCACATGAAGACTAGGTGAGATTAGCAAGATTTTGGTTAGGCAGTGAGGGGGAAATTCTCTGTTGGGGTTTGTCTTTTGCCCCTGCGTGTTGGCAGGTTAATACTTTGCTTTCTGTTTGGTTATAGGTAGTATATTATGGCTTCTTTGTCGGCGTTTGTGGATGCCCTCAGTGTCTTTCTTAGACGATTGCAAGAAGGCGCAGTTGGTCGAAATTGCAGAGCATTATGAAATTGCTGTTGTAGGGAGCAAACGGAAACATGAGATTAAGGCTGTCATGTCATCTTTGTTTGAGCAGGGGGTGTTGCAGAAGAGTGAGTCTGGTGCTGCAGGGGTCGTGCCGGTAGTGGTTCAGACAGCTGGTTTGACGTTCGAGCAGCAAAAGGAGCTTTTGAGCAGGAGAGGTTGCGGATGGAGTTGAGGTTGGAGCAGGAGAAATTGAGGTTGGAGCAGGAGAGGTTGGAGTTGAGGGGTCAGCAGCAGGAGGTAGAGAAGCGTTTAGAGGTGGAGAAGGTGCTGAAGGTGGAGAAGATGAAATGTGAGGGGGTGCTGGAGGTGGAAAAGATGAAATGTGAGGTGGAACATGCTAGATTACGGCTGATTGGAGAGGGCAAGCTTTCTCCGGTGGAGGATGGTTCTGATAGGTCGGCATCAGGTAGTGGCGATATTATTTCTTACTTGCGGTTAGTGCCAAAGTTTAATGAGCGTGACCCTGACATTTTTTTTACTCTGTTTGAACGCATAGCAGGGGCAAGAAACTGGTCAGATTCGGACAGAGTGCTGTTACTTCAGTGTGTACTCACTGGGCGAGCACAGGAGGCCTATTCAGCTGTTTGTGGCGAAAATGCTTTGGACTATGCGAGAGTAAAATCAGCGGTGTTAAAATCATACAAACTGGTTCCTGAAGCGTATCGTCAAAGGTTCAGAAGTTGGGTCAAGGGGGATAAGCAGACACATGTGGAGTTTGTCTGTGATTTGACTTCTCATTTTCAGCGGTGGTGCGCGGCAGCAAAGGTTGTCAGTTTTGACGGTCTTTGTGAACTCATTGTATTGGAACAATTTAAAGATGTTATCCCTCAGCGTGTGGTCACTTATGTAAATGAGCAGAAACCTTCCACCGCGCTTAGAGCTGCTGAATTAGCGGACGATTTTGTGTTGACGCATAAGGGCAGTTTTACTGAGAAGTGTTCTAGGGGTGATTGGAGACGTGGAGAAGATGTTGGCTATTCCCGCGGTGGTGCAAAGTTTTCACCAGGCTCCTCACGTAGATTTGCAGGTCCGGGGCGATCCGAGGGCGCCAGAGTGGGCCAATGTCATTATTGCAGAGAAGAGGGTCATTGGAAGGAGCAGTGTCCGTTGCTGGAACCTGAGGGGAAGCCTCGTGTTTCAACACATGCTCCAGCTATGTGTTGTTCTGCCGTTTTGGTTAAAAAGCCGCAGGGTGTAGGATCGGGCATGGTGCCTGATAAGAAGCTGGTTTGTGCCGACTTGGATGTGGGTTCTGGTTTTGAGCCGTTCATAACGGAAGCCGTTGTGTCAGTAGTCGGTAGTGACAAGTATGTTCCGATTAAGGTGTTGCGTGACACAGCAGCTAGATACTCATTTATTGTTGAGTCAGTGTTGCCTTTTTCGTCTCAGAGACAGAGACTGGGGATTTTGTGTTGATGAGGGGCATGGAGATGGGCTTGAGTCCCGTGTCACGTCATACATTAGTGCTGGATTGTGAGTTGGTGCTGGGGCTTGTGTCTATCGGCGTGCGTTCCGCGTTGCCAATTGATGGGGTACAGATGATTTTGGGCAACGATCTCGCTGGAAGTGCTGTGTGGGCTGGTGTGCCACCGTCTGTGGTGGTTTCCAGACCATTGGCATCTGTGGAGCAAGATGAGAGCGGTTTGCAATTTCCAAGGGTGTTTCCAGTTTGTACTGTTACGTGTGCACAGAGCCGTAGGATGTCGACTGACCTGCCTGTTTCGGAGTGTAGGAAAAGTGTTGTTGAACAGGTGGTCTCACTGCCTGATCTCCCTTCGTCTGTGTCAAACGAGGAGGAAGACGAGGAGACTCTTCCTCGGTCAGAGATCCAGCAGGGAAATCAGTTCACCTTCGGCAGCATTGAGAGAGAAGAATACGATATTATATCACGGCTAAGAACCAATCAGATTGCTTGATTTGACTTGTCCGTTTTATAAACAATAATACATGAAAGTTAACTCATATATAATGTGGATTATTTAAAAATCAATCTAGCTTTAGTTTGACTTCTGGATTTCTATTGGGCTTGCAAAATAAATGCAATTTTTTATTTCCTTGACATATTCATGTTGTTTTTATCAGTCTGGATGGTTAAACTTGTTTGTATTAGAGATGCAATGCTTAAACTCTGCAGATTAGTGCAAGGACTCTGATATTTTATTGCTTCTAACGGCCAACAGAGGGCGCTGCATCACTTGTTCTCAATACAATGTTCCAGAGTCTTTTTCTTTAAAGGGGACCTATCATGCAAAATGCACTTTTGTACGTCTTTTATACATGAATATGTGTCCGCGGTGTTCCAGGGAACTCACCAAGTGTCAGAAAACACAACCCTCTCTATTTTCCTCCATACCCAAATCTCTAAAAAAGTGGCTGCAACGGATCTGATAAAAACTGATCCAGATTTGAACACTGAACACTGTCCTGACGTCAGGACAGTGGTGCTACGGCTATTGGGCCAACTCCACCAATCAGGAGGAGACAGCCACGGCCATTGCCGTTCGAAAGCGCTGGAGACGCTGTAGTACATATGCCAGGCCTGTAGATGGTGCTGTTCTCACAGAATCTGCCCTTGCAAAAACAGAGCTAAAAAATGTCAAATTGAGCAAAATGAGGCATGGCTAAAATGCATGATCTGTTTGGTATTTTGAAAAAAAAAAAGTATAAATATGCCTTATACTGTATAGGTATGGTCCTACACTATATTATTCAAATATAGCATGATAGGTCCACTTTAAGTATTCTGATGTATACTTTGTTTATTTGCCCAGATGACGGATCATTTAATCTATCTGTATTTTTATCTATGAGCAATGTCATGTTTTACTCTGTTGTCACCAGTGAATAAATGTGCTGCCATACATTGTTGTTTTGTCTTTTTCTTGAAAACATCAGTAGGCTTTAATCAAGTCAGGACGAACTTGTTATTGCCAATTATGTAATATGTTATAAAAATAAGATAGAAGGAGATCTGAGGCCTGTACTACGAAGCTGGTTCAACCTAACCTGGATATGTTTGAGTTAGCCGGTTGGCCCAATCCAAAACATACGCGCTTTTCGCTAAGCTGTACTACGACGCTGGTTATCAAGCTCAAGCCAGCCGTGTCCTATCTAGTTAGGTGCGCGTTCACATGAAAGGGGTGGTATTTGGAGCATTCGACCAATCTCAAACATGGACAAGCGTACTGACAGCGCAGCGTCATACTTCCTGAATGAAAAGTGAACTTTAATATTAGTCAAATATGAAGAAGTTAAACTTTAAACATCCATGACTTAACCTGTTCCACTCTGAGCCTGTTTTTCAGGTCTCAGGCTCGAAAATGACATTCCCAGAACAAATGACCATATCTTCCCTTCTAAAAGGGTTAAATTAATAATCTTTGTTCTCAAAGTAATGATAAACCTGTGACTTGAATGTAGAAGTGTCAGAATCAATATAAATGTTTTTTATTTTAAAGAAAATTCAGATTTTACATAGTAAAAAACTGTAAATTATAGTGTCCGTCCAAAAATTATTTTTTACAGATAGTGAAAACTACCCTTGGATGATGGGTTAGTAGACTAAAAGCTTTAAGAATCCAAAGTACAACATATAATAAGTACCCTGTATCAAGATTGATGCAAAACAAGTGAAATTTGACCTTTTTAGAGAGATTTAGCCAAAAACCCCCACTTCTGGGGTCATTTGGGTGGATTTGACCTATCTCTGGCCCCCCTTGGTCGATTTGGTTGGTTGACACACCCTTGTGACCGTTAGAGCCAATAGAATCGAAGGGGGAGGCCCACTCACACACTCGTTGTAAATAGAAAAGGTGGGGGCTACGCGTCTAGAACTGAAACTGGATTTGCAGATTTTCTCCTTCTGGAGTTTGGAAACTAAAAATCCGTTTTATTTCTTATGGATTATCAGAAATAATTTCAAAGAAGGCACAGATACATAGGATGAACCTATGGATTAACTGCAGTATCGTTTTTGTATCGTTTGAATGCCATTGAAGACCAGTTTTGACCAAGGTAAGCCATATTGGCGTTTTTAGCTACTTAGCTCCACATGTTGTGATGTACGCTTTCGTTTATAGCGTCGCGAATGTTTATCACTGAGTGTTGAGGTGGGCACCGGTAGATTCAGTGTCTCCAGGACACCAAAAACGAGTGGTTGGTTTTGCATCTAGGATAAGTAATAAGGGAGTTGTGAGTGAGTTTAAGTGCCTTTGTAGGTTACGTTTTTTCGTCGAGGCTAATTCAGAGGCTGAGTGCTAGCATTGTGGGTTTTTTTTGAAAAAAAAAATTAAAAAGATCAGTTAGCTGAGTTTCTTCCCGTTACATGGATATAACACATTCATAGTTTTATTCAATATTAAGATTCCTTAAACATTGTTTCCTGCAAATGACGCGTTTATCCGCCCGGGCGGAAGGTGCGTAACAGGTTAAACACTTTATCCAGGATAAAAGCCACATAGCTGCACCTGCAAGGTGAATACAGCTGGTAAAAGAAAAAGCGTTTGAATGCGTACATCAACAGGTTTATAATATCACTGCCCCGTCCAAGACACGAGTCGATCTGACTTTAATTACATTTGACTCGAGTGTTTCGTCAACTTAATGTGTTGCTTAAAATAATACTTCTGCATACAGTATGTGACACTGTGAGTGTTGCACGGCCAGATACGGCTCAAGAAGCTGACTCAGATAAGGAAATATATGATACATTATGATGTGATATGATATGAATGAGAATGGGACACATCGACGTCTGCACTCATTGTGCCGCGGACTGTACTTAACCTGTTAAGCCCGAGAGACCCCGGTACCGGGGCTCTGCCGCAACATCTTGCAGGAAACAGTGTCTGAGGGCATGTTCATTTAATAAAATTATGAATGTTTTATATCCATGTAACGGGAAGAAATTCATCTCACTGATCATTTTTTTTTTTCTTTTTAAAAGAAAACCCACAATGCTAACACTGAGCCTCTGAATTAGCAACGAGCGAAAGATGCTAACACCTTACTGCACCGAAAATAACTCACAAAACCTTATTATTTATCTTTTCACCACATCCAACACATCGATTCACATCGTGAGGTGACACAGAATCTATTGACACCAACATTACCACTGAATTATACGTATTTGCGACGTTATAAGCAAAAACGGACATCAAAACAGGTGACGCTAGGTAGCTAAAAATGCTAACATTTTTACCTTGGCTCTATGGTCTCTCCAAATTGGTCTTCAATGACATTAAAATGATAAAAACGCTGCTGAAGTTAATCCATAGGTTAATCTAATGTGTCTGTGTCCCTTTGAAATTATTTCTGATAATCCATAAGCATTAAAACTGCTTTTCCGTTTCCAGATGTCAAAGCTAGAGATAGGTTCACTCTGATTGAAAATTACATGCGCGAAGCCCCCACCTTTTCTCTTCACAATGAGTGTGTGTGGGGGACTCCCCCATCGATTATATTGGCTCTAACAGTCAGAAAGAGGTGTCAACCATCAAAATCGAGCAAGGGTGGCCAGAGATATGGAAAATCCACCCAAATGACCCCAGAAGTGGTTTCTTTTTGCTAAATCTCTCTAAAAAGGTCAAATGTCACTTGTTTTGCATCAATCTTGATACAGGGTACTTATTATATGTTGTACTTTGGATTCCTAAAGCTTTTAGTCTACTAACCCATCATCCAAGGGTGGTTTTCACTATAAGTAAAAAATAATTTTTGGACGGACACTATAATTTACAGTTTTTTACTATGTAAAATCTGAATTTTCTTTAAAATAAAAAACATATATATTGATTCTGACTTTTCTACATCCAACTCACAGGTTTATCATTACTTTGAGAAAAAAGATTATTAATTTAACCCTTTTAGAAGGGAAGATATGGTCATTTGTTCTGGGAATGTCATTTTCGAGCCTGAGACCTGAAAAACAGGCTCAGGGCTTAACAGGTTAATGTTACTCTGATCCGGTTACTTATGTTGTGGCAGATATTTAAGTAAGTTTTCTTAACGCTAATGTTATAATAGTCAGATTGCTCTGAAGATGGGATGGGATATTCTATTAATTTTCACGTTCACACAGTCAGTTTATTTTTGCCGGCCGTCTTTCCTGCAACGGCAGTTTTTCTGTATTTCCTCTATCCTGTAATATGACTTGATAGCTTTAAACTCCGCACACGGAGCTCTGATTGCTCAGCAGGCGGTGCTTTCACTGAGTTGATCTCTTAGCCTGCAACCTAACCTCCTCCCGAGGAGGTTAGCCGCTCAGCATAAGTTACCATGGAGATCTAGCCCGCTAAAAAGAGAACCAGCGTCGTAGGACCGGAAAACCCGAGTTTTCCCTGAAGTCAGCCGGCTAAGCGAAAATCCGGCTTCGTAGTACAGGCCTCAGGCCTCAATATTCAGTCACTCTGTCAACATCAGCACCAGCAGAGTTTCAGAGAGGGACAGGAAGTGGCATTGAGAGCATTTTGGTGACCTAACATACGTTTTTTGGGCCTAGAAATCCAATGCAGATCCAAATTGCAGTTAATATGATTCTATTATTGGGAAATCCAATATTTTTGGATGTGTGGCTGTATTAAAACTCTGTGAAAGGGCAACACGTTTTCAAGTTCCGGAACTATTTGGGAAGTATCAACATGACGTGAGAACAAGAGATTAAAAAGATGCCATCTCCACCTCGAAGCAGAAGTCTACTGAACCGTCACATCAGAGAGACACTCTCATCAGGACTGCAGCAGGACTTAGTTCAGGACGAAAGGAAAAATAATCGAGGATATGGGTAATTAAAGAATATTCCAGAATTTATGTGTGTGTTTGTGTCTAAGATACATCCTATGATATGTTTTTATTTGCCTTTATCAACATGGTTTGCTATGTAAGTTGCTTCTGAGGCTTGACCACTCCCTAGCAGCACATTATTTTAAATATCCAAATTAATTTAAGATTGAATCTTTACAATTATAATTGATCAGCTCGGCTGAACATAGAGACATAATGTTTGATGCATTTGGGGATTTTTTGAGAGTGAATTAAGGAATAGCTTGTAGTTTATCAATATGTTAACCACACATGATGAACTATTACTAAATACAAAATGCAATCAATTTTTAACAATAACAAGTACAAATGTTTTATTTATAAAATATTAGTTTGTCTAATTGGTCTTTAATCTCGTTATAAAAAGTCAGCATGATACACTTCTCCGTCTGTTTTTAGTTCTGCTTTTCTGCTCCTGATTCTTTGCGTGACAGCAACTCATTTTACATTGTTGTGTTTGATTATAAAATCCATCA